AGAAACAACTTTAGATCCAGGCACTAGGTCTTGCTTTTCTTTCTGATGGAAATATGAAATTCCTCTGTCGAGAAACCAAAACTGCAAAGGAATATGAGACTAGAGAAAATACCTCCATGAGATCTGCAATAGGTAGGAGACCGAAGTATGGAAAATATGAAAAGCCAGGAAGCTGATTCTTCCTATCACACTATTCCTGTTTAGACTGGGAGTGAAGAAGGAGAGAAAGGGCGTTCCCTTGAAAATGTAATTGATTGAGACATAAATCAAGAGTCAGTTCACTGGAGTGAATTAAGTCTGGCTGCTGTGAACAGCAAGCAAGTGAAAACCTTTGGTTGGCTGCCTAAGGGAGGGGCAGAGAGGAGATAAGATACAAGGTAGGTGATGAAAGGGATGCAGGATAGAAATGTGAGCAGGCTAGAGTTGATAAAACATGTGCTCTAGGTCCTACTTTTCCCATTCCAGTGGCTTGGAAGTATGTGGCAGAGCTGATGAAACAGCCTGCAACAAAGAGACAGAGAGACAGAGACACCAGGACCACTTTTCAGTTATAAGCTTTTTCTTTTTTAGAATTCAAGCTTACACAGTTATCTATGCCCACTATATTCATAATTACATTTTAATATCTGCATACAAAAGCTATGTAAAAATTATTTTCTTCCCCCAAATATACAAATTTTCTCTTTAGATAGTTTAAAACATTTGTGATCACAGATTTTTTTTAATATATTTTAGGCTGAAAAAATATTACCAATCTAGCATAACTCTTAACACTGTTTGCAAAAAAATACATCATCCAAGGTACTTTGCTTTTTACTGTATGGTGTAACGTTTGCCTTACCCTCAGGGCATGAAACTGATATATAAAAAAAAAACCAAATAAGCAAACCCCACAAACCTCATAGACAAAGTAGTAAGTCCTCCCAACCAACTTCATAAAAACAAATAAACAACCCAAACCACTCTTCTCTTCAAAAAAATGCTGAATGAGTAATTCGATGTATTTATGAGCAAACTAAAACTGAAGAGTGCTAAGGAAGTAGGAAAAGAGAAAAAGAAATTACAGTATGTCAGCTAGTTCATGCCCTGGTACTATCTTTACCAACATTAAATGTGTAATTAAATAAAGTGTCTTTTAATGTTTTACATTGTGCTCAGTAATTTACATAAATTTAATCCACACCTGGGTGCTGATGTAGATTTACATTTGATTGTCTTGTGCATAAACAAGGTTAGCTTTTAAAGAAGGTAAACTGTGCAATGGACAGTCACAAACAACTTTTACCTGCACAATATTGCTTTTAGAAGGCGACATCAGTCAATGTGGATACACACAAATAATGCATACTCTTTGCATTTGCTAACATCTATACTAAAACTTTGTGATAAGGCCAAACCTTTTTTTTTTTTCAAATTTAAAGCAAAAATATACCATAGTAAAAAAAAAACAAAACAAAAAACCCCAACGTGCTCACACTGTTTCGAGTCTTTAAATGGAAAATAAATCTCTATCACACTAGAATAAAATTCTCTCTATAAAATTTAAATACAGATCACTTCATTACTATATCAAAAGGAAATGTCTGGCAATCATTTCCAGATGATCACAATAACAAGACACATTAAGAGGTCCTGTCGCCTCCTCCTTTGTGAAAAGATAAATGTTGAACACTTTCTTTCAATTGCTCTCACAGTGAGAGGAAAACGTTCCTTGGTTGTGGATTTTGATTCTGTCAATGAAAAAGGTTTAGCCTTAGGAATGCTGGCTACATCTCAAAACCATAAGACTGATTTTTGTAATTTATGATTCATGCAGCAAGAAGTCAATATGACACATACAGATTAGAGTTCCATAGCATAAAAATACATCACTAGCAATGACATGCTCTGCTTGTGATCAACAGCCCTCTCTTGGCAGATTTCTGATATAAATGGTCTTCCTGGACATTTTTTTCTTCTTCCTGATGCCTGCCTCTGAAGAAGCAAGCAGTCTGCGCAACGATGATTTTGGACCTTGGAGGTCTAACTCTAATGTCTACATTTTGGCAGAATGTAAACAAAAATCTTTATCACACACTATATATGTCATTATAAATATCATAACTTAACTGAGATTACACATGAAATGAGTATCTAAATGCACATGTTACTCAGGGTAAAACCATGAACGGTGACAATCAGGTTTGACAGGAAAAATCTCCTATGTAAGACCCACACGTAGACTACAAAGCAAACATGAGAGCTACGTGGCACCATCAGAAACGAGACTCAACCGCACTGGAAAGCACATATTTGTTACTTCACTCAGAAGGCCAGGTACTACCAAGGGTGCTGACTGCAGTGCTGATGTCTGCCACTGAGATGGGCAGTCCAGTGGCTCAATCTCACAATGCCTTGACACCACTGGTACTTATGTCTTTGCAGAACTCAGGTCAGTATCCACTGGTAAGAGTCTGTAAGAGCATCCTCATGTGATCTGGTTTTGCTCTCATGATCACATAAATCAGCAGTTGTACTAAGGAAGTAAATGAAGTCATGCAAAGACTGGTAGAAAATCAGAGACCATTAGATGTCAGTGCATCAAATCTGTCAGCTTGGTCTTAATTTTCAATTAAGGAGTACTACTATCTCTGTTTATCAGTGTCAGACTTCAACTTAATCTAAAAAGCATGTTGATTTATGTCCTTTGTGCTAACAGCACTGCCAAACCTGTCAAAGTTTGTTGCCTGATTTTAGGCACTTCAGTCCATCTGCAATTGCCTAAGGAAGGAAACCTGATTTTCTGAACCCAGATTCTCTGAACTGTTTCACAACTCCAAACTGCATCAGCTTTTTGGAACTAGGAGAAACACGATGTTTTTTTTCTCCTGAGCACAGGAGATGTTTTTTTTCTCTCTGCAGCACAGTCAAAATTTTGAATGCTAACTCAAGCTCACATTGGGCAAGCAGGTGTGAGGTACTTGCACTGCCTTCAGGAGGAACTCCATGCTCAGATCCGTGGCAGAACAGAACTCCAAAAGACATGCACATTTCTCTTTGCTTTGCAAGCCATTGTGGTTATAGATGCAAGTAAGGGCTCAGCTGCTTTTCTATGTTCCATATATGCTATCAGTTCCCTATCAAGTCACCCCAAATCAGTCATCCAAAAAGCCAAGACACAGTGCTCTACAAGGAATTTGGATAGAGACTGATGTTGTTTAGACACACGCTTCGAGATGGAGCAAACATAGCTAACAACAGAGGTTCTTCAACTTCAGCAAGTGTTTAAGAATAAATCTCCAATGGTCTGTCTTCCCTGCTACCTGAAAACCAACCCTAACACCCCACTGTATTTTATGTTCTGACAAAAATACCTTAAGTGACAACATTAGTGCTCACAGCTCATCACAGGTGTATATGGTATCAAAGGACAGGGAGAACAAGATTCCACATCCCTGAAAACATGGCCAATAGCACTCCAAATGCTTTATCAGAGATGTAAGGAAAGAGGGGCGGAAAGAATTCAACCCCTGATACACATATACTGTGTTCCACCTGTAAGTTTTCCTGAGTATCATGTTTTTATGAGGGGATAAACACATAACATATGGGTTCAGATATGGGCCATGAGCTTTGAAAGTCAACACATCCACCCTAACAATGCCCACTGACTTGCCAGGCAAACAGGACAATAAATAGCAGAGAAAGAAACTGGTACAAATGAATGCACAACATGAAAGAATGTGGAGTATGAGGAAGTGCAAAATGCATGAATTAAGTCTCTGGTTCCCAGGAAGAACAGAAGGATGCTTTTGATGTATCACACAAATTCAGAGAATGGTTTAATATCAAGTTTATAAAACCCAGGGACAACACCCCTGAATGGAGATGGATGACAGAGAGGAACCTCTACCTATAATGTCGTCATCACCGGCCTCCAAACATTCCAGGACTGGGAGTACTGGCTTGCAGATTTCAGCAGCAGGACATTCTGTCATTGCTCAGTTTGGTTCCTGCTAGTGCAGTTAGTGGAAATAAATTAGAAGAATCAAGAGAGCATCTAGCCAAATGAAACACGTACAGACACCAAGGAGGGAGAACCTAGCTGAACCACATGCACACACACACACACACACACACGAGAGAGGGTGAGAGAAGGAGAAAGAAGATAAAAATATGAAATATGTTTAAGACATTGGCTGCAGATTTGTAATTATATATATATAAAATTATATATATACGTGCATATAAACTTTATATATATATATAAAACAAAGGGTTACTGCCAAGCAACACTATTTGTATTACTGGGATAAAGCTGTACAGTCTTGAGTGTCATTAATAACAGTTGGTTTCTGTCCCCTCTGAAGGTCACCCCGCATGATTTGTTCCCCTTGTCCTCATTCCGTGAGCCCTCACATCCCTGAATAAGCCTGAGGAAAGCCCACTACCCCTTCTCCCTCAGAGTGATGGATGATCCATGCACCTCAGAAAAAGCAGACCTCTTCACTCTCAGTAAAGCATCTCCGAGGATCAAATTCCCCTCCTTAGTCCAACAGACCTTCCTGTGAAGTTACCTGGAGTTCAAATTTAGTAACTGAAGGACCTTAATATCTTATACACATGGAAAAAAAATGAGTCAGTCCCTTCTAACACTCTACATCATTTTAAGTATTTGATTTATGGGCACAGTTAAACTGTATCTGCTGGAACAATCCTCAGAGAACGATGGGATCATGATGATGATGAAGATCCTAGATCATAATGGTAACAATCATGAAGACTAGAAATTTCATATCATGAATTGGTCTCTTGTACCCTGCAAAATGAGGTAATACTAGACAGAATTGCCAGGGTCAAATTAACAATAGATGTTTTAACTTGAAGGCCAATTTATTTTCTGCCACTTCAATTTCTCTCCTATATTTTCCAAGCAATGATGTATGTGAGCTGGTGACCACGTAAGTGCTGGTGAATGAGATTGGTCTGTTCGTATTTTCACTGTTAAGCTGTCAAAGCACTCACATCAAAGGACTGAAGAACAAATTGCAATAGCCACGAGTACCCGCATTAAAGGGATGTTTTCATCCATGTGTATACAACTGCCCCCAGCAACCCCAAAAGAAAACCCAAACAAAAACCCAACCCCGCCTCAAGAAACAGAAGAGCACGAAAGAAGAAGAACAAACAGAGGTGAGAAGAACTGGGCAACGGGATGAAATGACAGCCAGTAGTGCGACGGGGTGCGGAGAACCGCTCCAGTCTCTCTAATCCTCAAACACTTCCAGGAACAACGGAGGGAACAGTTCTGTGGGGCACTCCACCTTCATGTGCAGGAAGCGGCTGGCATGGCAGGCTCCGATCATTCGCAGGTCTGTCACTTTCATCAGCAGTTTTGGCCAAAAGTGTGCAACATGGTGTTTTCTGTAATTAATGTAGTGTTCGAATGCCAGGAGGAAACCCTCTTGACACTTTTCTATTCTCTCGACGCAAACAAGGCCTGGGCGATCTGTGGAGACAAAGCAGCAAGTTATCATTACTACTTATTTGCTTTAACAAATTCCTGATCATAAATCAGGAAAAATAGATTATTACATTGCTAGGAAAGAAAGGAGGGAAGACACAGACATTTGGCTCTGCCACAAAAAACTTCTTCCACCCTGGCCAGCTTACTATCACTGATAGAACAAGGAGATAATCCTTCCTTTCTTCATCCTTTGCCTATTTAGACTATAGTTGTTTGGAAAGTGACTAGAGCAACAGATCCCTGATTTAAACTAAGGCTTCTATCTATATCTTTCTGTAAAACAACTAATAAAGGAAAAAAAAATCCTTGTCACATATCTAAATTACAGTTCCTATCTGTTTCTCTACAGTCTGGCCAATACTTTGATCATGCTTTGATCAACAGGTGAGCTGCAAAGGAAATTGTTATGGAGCAGCAAGGACAACAAAGGCCAAGATTTGGCTGATTGTCTTAACTGGCATCCAGATGGGCACTGGGAAAGCCCCTTTCACAAGTCACTTCTCAGGAGACACTTCTGGGAAAGCAGGTCCTTTGAACTGCCTTCTGATACCCCTACTCATGTATCACTGTGTAGGAAACTAAAAAGAAATCAAAATGTTTTGATTGGGAAGGTCAAGTGCTGCATTGTAATTAATGTGGAAACCTTTCTGTTTCAGATGCAGTTAATGCTTGTAAATCACTGACTGTATATTGTTATTCAGTTCCAGTCTTCAAAGTGGTCACAAAACAAAATCTTGCCAAATCTGCCACTGCCCAAGAATGGAATTTCCTCTTTGGGCTGGCAGTTAGTGGAAGCATATTTGAAAACATACTTGAATTAAGAAGGTTAGAAAGTCTTTGGAAATAATATGAAATGGTCTGTGCTGCTTCTGTATCATACCACCAAGAGACCTGTTGCAAATGATCCCAGTGTGGGTAAACAGCACAGCTCTCAAATGCCCATTAGGAAGCAGTGGTGCTGTTAATTAGGAAAACAAGACAGCAGGTCAAACTAAACATATGACATGTATGAACCGTTCAGTGCATGACAGTACCCAGGGGAAAGGGGAACTTATTGTAAGGACCAATGATGCTAAATTATCCATTTTTCATTCAAGGCAAAGTCAGAAGCAGATCTGATTTCTCTCTGATGATCATCCCTGCCTCATCCTGAAGTACTAAACTAAGCAAGGTGCGTTACCAAAACCACTTTTATGTCCAGCTCTCTGAACACCCTGAATTTTTTTCCTAGTGCTCATCAAACTAAGTCTAAGCTGCATTGAGATTTTGAGAGAAAAATTCTCCCACATTAGCTAGCATTACAAGATCTAACATATCTTATTTCTTTTAAAAAGAGGCTTGTGACAAAGACTAAAGCGTTTCAAAATGATTGGGGTTCCAATATTTCTGTTCTCACCTGATGACATGAGCAGAACAGCCTGAAGAAGGGCAACCTCGGTGTCATCCAGGTTAAATGAAGAAAGAGACATGCCCAGGTCAAAAATGGCATCAGACACTACGCCAAGACCCCCATTTTTCAGCTGGCCCCTTGTCACCGCCATCTCCCCATTTAGTGTTAAAGTCTCACTCTCGGGGTCATAGCGAACTGCTGCTCGGAGGGACATTATCTCCATACAGCAGCCTTTCAGAAGGATGATCTGGTCTTCACATGGCAGCTGCAGAAATCATAAATGGTAAAGAAAAATAAATGTTCATCAAACTGAGTTGCTTTTACAACTACAATAAACCCATGAGCATGAAGCTGCAGTTCACAGCCTAGGACACCACCCTGCATAGTGCAGCTTTGGTCCAAACACACTGCTGACCAACTGTGCTGCACAAACACCGAAGATCTGAATTCCTGCCTTCAGAAACTGCCAGCAGGTTAACATCTCCTGGTTAGCATCCCCACACACCCTTAGGAAATCTAGTGATGACACAGCTGTAGGCAAGTGGTCCTGGACAAGACATTCAAAGCAAACCATGCCGCTTCCGATACTGAGGTGAAGTGACCCAACTTCCAGAACTGCTGCTCCCTGTGGGACAACTCAGTTTGTGGGAGAATTATAAAATTAAGTCAAATAAACCTTAAGAATGTAGCTTTCCAATTTACAGAGCATTTTACAAAGTGTGCAGGGTGAAGCAGACCACTCAGGTGCCAGGTTGATGGTAACATATACTATTGGTTTTGTCTCCCATCATGAGTGGGTAAATCTGAGGTAGCTGAAGTGGTCACTCTTCTCAGGTGTTTACCCTTTTCTCTTCTCCTCCTGAGTTGCCTCAGCTTACAATTTACCATGACAGAATAAACTACAACTGAGGCTGGTACAGACCTCAGCCACTCCAGTTAAATTCACTGCCAGCCATGCTTATTTCTTACCTGATCACAGGAAAAGAAAGACATTTGGGAGGGTCTGTAAGAACTTTTTAAATAAAAGGAATCAAATGCATGTTTATATCTAGAAGAGATACTTCAATTGGTGGGGAAGTAATTCTCACTACCCATTTAAATAACAAAGAACATACTAACCTATACTTAGCCTTGTAAGGCTGTTCTCCCTAGATTACCTATATCATTGCTGCACAGACAGAAAAACCTATCGTACAGCTACAGCTCTTACGTTGGTGCATAAGCTGTGATCTTCAGTACATGTGGCTAGATATACTTTTAACATGACATTAACAAAGGCAAGTTGTCCTAACTGCTGGAGGTAGGTTCTGTATTTACAGAGGTAGAAGAATGTGTTCTGTAAAACATATCTTTATGTTTTCATAGGTAATTCAATGATAGCAAAACCCACTAGGACAATTTTGAGACTGTTGACATATGTGAACAGCAAAGGTCACATATACAAAAAGGCAACTAACTTCCACTTGTCTTGAAAGGAGGCAAAAACCCACCCATTTCTGACTCATATAAAATGATTATATTTACCTGTTTAGCAATTCAAAATGAAACCCCCATGAACTACAGGCTTACAGAGCAACTGTGCACTTGCAAAGCAAGTACTTTGATTTGGTGTAAAATGATGTAGAGTGGACGCCAGCTATCTAGTGCAAGTGGAAAGCAGTTCCCTATTAGGGAAGAGTTTTAAGCACAAAGCTAGCCATGGTCAGGAACAGATCTTGAATCATACAGCTATTTTTCCAGCAATGCCAGCTTCAGGTGTGAAGTGTTTGATGCACAAGAAAACTGACTCATCTTGGTCAGGGCATATCACTTTCCCTGCAGATCACTCTCAGCTCAGCAGCAGTGTGGGGAAGGCTGCACAGGCACAGCAGCAGTCTCCCTACCCAATGACAATGCCACTGTTTGGCTGCTGAGACTGAAGAGGGAAAGAAACAGAGTAAAATAAAAATCTTTAAAAAAAAGTATGTGTGAGAGCAACCATGAAGAGATATTGGAATAGGCAACAGCAGTGAAAAAAAGGGACATGAAAGAAAGGAAGAGAGAAGGGAGAAGAAAAGAGAATGGAAAAAAAACTTCTAAGAAGGAAGAACGGTGGAAAAGAAACAGTTAACAGTAGGGAAGATATTTTGTGATGCTTCAGGTGTTTTGTTAGTGAGTCATTAAATCAATGAGAATTTCTCCTCCTACTTGAACCTACTTAAAACTCTTTATGGTAGTGGTGATCTGACTATGCCAGTCCTTCGCCTGCTTTCCTAATTCTGCAGGATACTTGGGACACCTTTTTCACAGCTGCCAAGCCTCAGGTAGCAGGAGTTACCCAAAACAGGAGGCTTGAACATCAGTTCTATTCCTAACTGTCCAGGTTTTAGTGCTACCTGCACTCACCACTTGAGCATTGCTATCAGAGCATCTTCCAGAAGGGAGGTCAACAAACGTGACTGAATCTCTACCATGTGCTGTCCTTTCCTTCTCTCTCTGCAGGGAGAAAAAGCCATAGGCAGGAACCTGAGGTGCTCACCTCTGCAGGACACACCTGCAGCCAGCACACATAGAACTGGGCTGAGCTGAGCTACCAGGAAGGCTATTCACACAGCATCACCCACTGTGGAATAACTGATGCTTGTGACATGTGAACTCACATTAAACTGATTAAATGATCCTCCATCTTCTAAGCAAAAGGAAATGAAAGAAGGAAACAACAGCAGAAATGTTGAGAAGTAAATTAAGTTTTCCTTATGCTTTGATTAGTTTGGGATTGGATGCTTATTTTGAGGCAGGGGTCAATGGATGCACAAAACCTAAGCTGGGCACTCACAGTGCTTTGCTGGCTTGTGCTGTGTCCAGAGATGAGAGAAAGAAGGAAAAGTAGCCATGAACATATAAATGGCCATGGATGTTCCTTGCCATGTCTCTCTTTCATAGAGATTTACTACATTCTCATCCTGGTGTCTGTGGAGTTAAGAACTGAGATAACATTTAAATGCTCTGCAGGCCCTATGGGAGAAAGGAGGTTTTTTTCTCCTAAACAAATCCACAGTGCTGCTTCTATGAAAATGATATGGGTTAAAAACCGTAAGTGAAATAAAGTTAGCAGGATGGTGCCCTTTCAGAAAGAAGCAAATGTGTCATTTTCTTCATGCTACAACAAGGGTTATATGACAACTTGGAGGACAGCTGTCCTATTCCTTTGTGTTCATGAGGAGTTGTCCCTCACCCAGCCATCAGAACTTGCTGTATACAGATGTCAGGTTTATGCAGTGGCTCAGTAGTAAACAAAGTCTGTCCAGCTGAGCCACATAATGTAGAGAGGTCGTGCCCAATGACACCTTTACTTCTTCATCCACACTTCCTGCCCAGCTCTGACACAAGCAGGCCCATGGTAGCCAGGAGGGGTAGGAGATGTCAGATGGGCACTGCAGTGTGTGTGTGGCTGGCAAAGCTTTCTAAATTAAAAAGGCTACCTTGGTATGTCACTGCAACTTCCAATGAACAAATGCCAAATTAGAGGAGACAGATTCCCTCAGACACTAAATCTGAAATGGCCTCTTGACCTGCGGACACATTAAAAAATCTTCATGATTGGCCACTATTTCACACTTCCCCCTCTTGGCTGGGGAAGACAATGCCGAGGCTAGCCGGGCTACTTCAATCCATGGGGCAGCGACGCTAGCTATAGAATATGTAGCACTATATTATACATACGTATAGTCCAATGCCAACTATTGCTATTTACCTCCTCTTGTTCTGTAAGTGCCAGAGGACATAAATAGCTCTCCCTGACTGACCTTAAAGAAATGCTGTCAGCCACAAAGAGGAAAATGCTATGGCTACCTTCAACTTCCTTCCTGATTGATGCAAATAGGAAGAAAGACTCATTGACTGTGGTCACTCCAATTTGGAATGTCATTCTGATTGGCATCAGAGTCAAGTGCTGCTCTGCAGTGTGGACAAGCAGGCAGGCATCCCTCCATGGCTGGACTGGGGATGCTTCTGTGTTAAAAACATGCAGCTGGCCGGGTTTCAGGCTGTAGGGAGTCCCTAAGCACTTCACTGGCTTGTAGCAGAGAGAGCAGTTGCATCACATGTGACCAGCTGTATGACCTGCCCAGCCTGATAGCAGAGCTATGGCATGAAGTAGAAAGGCTAAGAAGTGTTAGAGAATCAGAAAGGGAAATAGACTGGTGGAACCAAGCTCTGGCCTAGCTGGCACTGGATGCTCTATCCACCCCCCAGCGAGGAGCAGGTACCAGCTGTACAGAAAGGAGCAAAAGGAGGGTAGTCCATGCTTGAGGTGGCAAGGTAGATCCTTCTTCACCCACCTCACTCCACCAGGTGCCTCTGCACAATAGGTATGAAGTTTTGTGTGTGGAAGTTCAGCCACAGGGTGGAGAGGATGAAGGTCCAGTTACACCAGAGGTGTCACCACAATCAGGAAGGTCAAATCCCCGTATTACAACCGTGTTCAAGAGGAAGAAAAGTAGGGTTACAGTTGCAGGCAATTACCTTTCTAAGGGGCACAGAGGGACCAATATGCTGACCAGGCCCAACCCAAAGGGAGGTCTGCTGCCTCCCTGGGGCTTGGTGTTAAGGACATCACCAGGAAATTTCCCAGCCTGGTGCAGCCCTCAGACTACTACCTATTACTAATCTTCCACATGGGGGCGATGAAACGGCAATACATAGTCTGAGGGCTATAGAAAAGACTTCAGGGCCTTGGGATGCTTGGCAAGGGAATCAGGGGCACAAATTACATTCTCCTCCGTACTTGCAGTTGAAGGCAGCACTACTAATAAGTAGACTCAGTCCATCCCAGCAAGGAGGAGAGTCTATGCTTGGGAACTAATGGGGCTCACTAGCAGAGCTTTAAACTATATGTGATGGTGGAGGGGGACAGTATCAGGCTCGTCCCTGGCTAGCTGTGGGATGAGATGCAGAGGTTAGAGGGACAGGGTGTTAGCAATGGCTCTCTGCCAGTGACTCTGAAATGTGCTGGCCTCACTGGAGCATACCTGCAGGCTTATGGAGATGAGTCAGGGACTTGTCTGGTAACAGAAAGCCAACAGGGAAACATCAGGGAAATATCTCAAAAGAATTGAGGGGTGTTCCTCTAGGAAGGCAACACAGCCAACAGCCCAGCTAGGGTGCTTTTATGCCAATGCATGCAGCATGGGCACCAAATTGGAGGAGTTGGAAGCCACTGTGCTGCTAGAAAGCTATGACCTTGTTGCCATTACTGAAAGTTGGTGCAGGTGCATGAGTGTGACTATCAATGGCTACACACTGTTCAGAATAGACAGGGAAGAAAGCAGAGGTGGAGGGGTTGCTCTCTACATCCAGAGAAGAGCAACAAGGCTGGTGAAGGGACTCGAGCACAAGTGCTATGAGGAGAGGCTGAGGGAGCTGGGGGTGTTAAGCCTGGAGAAGAGGAGGCTCAGGGGAGACCTTATCGCCCTCTGCAACTCCCTGAAAGGAGGTTGGAGTCAGGTGGGGGTCAGTCTCTTCTCGCAGGCAACTAGTAGTAGGACAAGAGGGCACAGATTCAAGCTCTGCCAAGGGAGGTTTAGGTTGGATACTAGGAAGAAAATTTTTACAGAGTAGTCAGGCATTGGAATGGGCTGCCCGGGGAGGTGGTGGATTCACCGTCTCTGGAGGTTTTTAAGATGAGACTAGATGTGGCACTTAAGAGTGGTCTACCAGACCCCAAAATTAGGTTTTCCCTGTATTTTAACTGACCTCTACATTCCTTATGTGCAACTAAGCCTATTAGAGTCTATTTACTGTATATTTTACATGTGACTATCTACCTGGAATGACAATCCATTACTTTTACAGACTCTTTTATGCACAATCTCCCCGTGCACGAAAAACATGCCTAGGGAACACAGTGAGGCAAGTGCCACTCCTGGACAGGGGTGCTTTCCTGAATTTGAATTTTTTTTTACTGCATAGACTCAAGTCTACAATACTGTACCTGACAAGGAGCCAGAAAGCACATAGGGAACCATGTGCTGGAAGATTTTATTAAACATATCAAAGATGTTTCTAGACAGTCTCTTTTGTTCATTTGCTTTGTTCAAGGCCATCTCTAGAGACACATCTGAGACCTTAATGAACCATCATGACTTCTAGATTAACAAAATCAGGATTTCAGTAATCACAGGAAAATGAAAACTCATAAAAATCTAGATTATTCTAGTTCCATCTATTTTGAGTGTCTTTGATTTTTCTGATTTTAAACATAGTGAATTTTTTAGTTCCATGCCAGAGTATTTTGAATAGTTTTTAACAACAGGCATATAAATAAGGATTGCAAGGAAGTCTTCTTACCTCACAAAACATAGGCAACTTTTTGGCAAAATCCACCACTCTTGTAATCGCTGGTGTGATAATTTTTGTAAACTGGCTGAAGGCTTCTAAATCCACTTTCCCACCTTCTGGGGCATTAACTATTGGTGCCTGCCCAATATCTTCTGGCTAAGGATATAAACAAAGATATTTAAAGGAACAATCTATCTCAGAGCAACTATTTTATACTCTAAAGAAGTCCTGCTTGGCAACAGAAGATATGGTAAAACAAAAATAACACTATTGGCTTTAGAAGTAATGTCCATTATACCACAAAACATGAGTTCATTTGTAAAGGCATTTGTGAAAGAGGTTGGCTGCACAGAGAAATGGGTGACTGGCATGCTGCTACCTATCCTCTGTGGGCAGTTGTGTTGTTGTGTCTGGATCTGAGTGTTTTATGGGTCCAATGTATGCATCTTTTGCTTAAAAATACAGGGATGTTGTTTCTTACATGTGCTGAAAACTCTCAAGTTTGTCTATATAAGCAAGGAGAGTTAAGGTGACGTGTTACACCCAAGAAGATGCTGCAAGCTTTGCAGAATTGGGCTTTCACCTTCTCAAAGCTCTGAAAGTCTCTCCAGAACAGGTTGCCTGGTATCACACAGGCCCAGCCAGGCAACTACCAAGGCTATTTTTCAAACCTAGGCTAGAACAACAGATGAGCAAGAATGGGCTAACTCAAAGCAAGTCTGGATAATATGACTAGAATTTGAACTCATCTGGGTAAAATATCACCTTTTGCATGACTCCAAATGAGAAAAAAAATCATATTTACAAGATTTCAATAGGGATATACAATGAAATAGTTTCAAGCAGAATCTGCAATAAGTGATTTTCTATTCCAGATGCACTTGAACTTGTTCACCTGATTTTTATGACAGCTGGTCAATGTTACAATGCATTTTAAAAACGGACATATCAAAGCCATTGTGTTTGCTAAGTATGGCTTTGCAATTAAAAAAGACCTACCAATCACCATGCAGAGGTTTAATTTTGTTCACATCACAGTCAAAAACTAGATAAAACCCAGAGAAGAAGACCTTTAGGACTGACAGACTCCATGACAATCTATATAAGACACTTATGCAGGGGAGGTGCTGAAAGTGCTGTCTGTAATAAAAACTTGTGTTCAGATGGTTTTGTAAAGTAACACATCATAAAAGATCCTTCCACAGCTGTCATCAATCTGAATCCAAATCTAACTTCTTACAAGAAAAAACTCAACAATGTGTTAATAAAGCATGGGCCAATTGTAAATGAACAATGAAGAGGACTGGGCTCAATTATCTGATGTTTCCAACTAAAAAACTCAAATAAACTGTGTTCTAGGCTCCTTCCCTCCCTAAATCTTGGGTAACCAAACCACATTGTCTGTGTGCTCATGATAAACAACCTTCACCACTTCCAATCAAGAAGACCAAATGCTTAAAACCACACGTAACATTGTTGGGGAAAAAAAGAAAGAACACAGCATTTTCTTGGGAAAGGCAAAAGAAGGCAGGATTGCTAGCTAAAGCTAATACACGGTTGAGCCCTTACCACCTAACTCGACAGGAAAAAAGGTTCAGATCTCAAAGGAGCCCCTGTTGTCCAAGAACCAGCCTCAGCTGCATAGGGAGTAACCCACTGCTCCTGGGGCATGCAGTCAGCTTCTCTTGCTGTGGAACAGGTTGTGGCAGAGGCTTTCAAAGTCCTCCACCCTGGACCTTCCTTTCTGTGCTCACCGCAAGGTGTCAGTGAGCTTCCTACACTTGCCTTGAGATCACTGGGCTTCAGAGTGAGAGCACTGTGAAGAACCAGGAAGCTCTGAAGCAAAGGCTCCACTAAGAACAGCCTGGACTGACCTAGGAACCAGCTGTGAAAGTCACAGTAGGTTTCCAACCTGCCCATTACAGTTGTCACCCGTCTCTGCCCCATCCCTCCCCTCTCCTAGTAGCCCTGTCATTGCAATACTCATGTCCTGCCTCTGAGCACACTTTGCTGGACGTTCTTCCTCTGCTGTGACAGTTTCCAGAGCCTGAAGTCTTGTAATGACCACACTCTGCATGGTCCAGCCCCAACCTCAAGCTCCCCATGCTTTAGCCCAAATCAGGTGCTACCCAAAGAACAGCACTCCTGTTTAAGCAACCAAAAGCACTACTGCAGCTGCTTATTGGTCTGCTAACACCAGCACTACAAACCTTGTTGTGCAACAACCCTGCAGAGTGCTCTTTTGCTTCCTGCCAGCAACCACTGGCTGTGGTTTCCTGACTGTGTGCTACTATGAACATGAGCCATTCATACAGAAATTTAGATGGTGTCATTGGAATTAAAAAACCAAAACATTATAAAAGAGATCAGCTGCTCTGAATACATAATTTCTTTGAGCAATTCAACAGTGAGTTGAAATTCCCATGGTGAATTACACAGCAGGAGCCTAGGCTTCCAAAAAGATGAGTATTCTCCATCTGATTTGGTATACACAGTTTGTTAAAGACCCCTGTGTATTCCTGAACTGCAGTCTTTAATCCTCCTTTTGTGCTGCGTAAGCATTTTGCATTCTGTACTTATTTCCTTTAAAAATCAATTTAGAAAAATCAAATCCTTTTTTTAAGGTTGAGCATTACAAATCACCATTTCTTTCTTGATCCTTAGTTATAGGCTGAAAATATAAGTTGTTTTGTAGTCTGTAATCCCAATACTATACTGTATGTATCATCCTGTTCTCACTGCAATTCATTTTGCCAAATTTATTTTAATTAATGTATTCACCATTAACAAAAAGAAGCAAAACTCACAAGTTATTAACCAAAATGATCATCTTTCACATAAAACATTACATTGTTTTGACACTTAGAATATGGTGTATGCTTGTTCCTAATAAAGACAACCATCCCTAGATATAATGTATCAAAAAGGTATGGTATGCATTATAGACTGCTACTGTTGTTAATCAGGAGTGAAACATTTTTTCTACTTTCTTATCATTGCACAATAAAAGTATCCAGGTGGGTAAGCCTTAATTTGGCAACATACTGTTTATCTTTTGAAATACATGGTCTGATCAAACACTGAGGGTCAGGCAAAAACAAGCAAGTAGCAACTACATAAATCATCCTTTTTTCATAAACATCAATACAGTGGCAGATGAAACGCCTTTGGGGTTGCAGTGCTGGAAAGGCATTTCAGAAGAAAGAACAGAAGCTGGCTCCAGGAGCAGAGAACAAGGCTACAGCTCTTACCAGAAATTTCCTTTTCTGCTTCCAGTGGCTTCCTTGTGCATTGGTGGCCACATGTGCTTCAGTAACAATTTTGATGAGCTCCCACTCCTCATCCGTTGGCTCTGGTTTGTGCCCAATGGTTTTCTGCAGCTCTTCCCGACGTCTCTTCTCTCGATTTTCCTCTATCAGCTTCCTCTTTGCCAACCGCTTGCTGTCATCCAACACCACTAGCAGGGGTAAAACATACAAAAATGGTAGAAAGCTCTTAAGGGTGTCTGAACACTGGTCTTTTCTGTGCCTGAGGTACTAACTGATTACAAACACCTTAGCTTATCAGTAAAGAAGTACCATGGCAAGACCCACAGCTGAGATAGTTCTCATATTTCTCCCTTTGATCTTCATTTCCTCAGAAGCCTGGATAGCAAAGAATGAGTTACCCTCCTGGTAAAGTTTTGCATACAGCCATTGCCTTCAGGGGCTTATTCCATCAATAAAACTAATATGTAAAAGCTTTGTGAGGTGTCGAAGTATTGCTAGAATGGACTTGGAGTAACCCATGTTGGGAAAGATGCACTTCTGCTTTCTTTAAGGGACTATCAGCATGCTCACTACTCTGAATTTTGTAGAATGTGTTCTTGGAAGCCAGCAGAAGGTAACATGGACTGAAGAAATTGAGCGATTTATTCACAAGAGGCTCAACACAGTCAGAAACAACCTGCCTTCGACTCTGTCCTTAAGCCCTACAAACGGTGCTGTTCTGCAGTGCTCCCACAGGCCCCACGGCTGCACATCTCTGACCACCACTGAAGCTGGTGACCCAGAGTTTTCCAGCCCCTCTCCTGAAGATCTACCTGGCTAAAATGAACCTGTCTCATTTATTCTATTTCCCTCTAGACATAAGACACTATTATATATTACATTAACAATGAAAATGCTAAGTTAGACTATTTTTCTGTTGTTTATTTGGCCTGTTGTCCTGTCAGTTCTTCTGCAAAGGATTATGCTGGCAACAACCATGAAGGCACAGGAGGATTTATGTGACTTCCTCCCATTTGCACTAATTGAAGATATTGGTGTAAATCCCAGTGCAAAGGCAGGAAAAGAAGACCCCTAAGGGTTAATCTTACAGCCATATTTTCTAGTTCTTTAGAATGAGAGTCGAATTCTTTGCAGCAGAAAAGTTCTTTGGGGCTAAAAATAAAACAAACAACTGCAGGATGACTCATACAATGACATTCAATTTCACATCCTCCAGAATTTTCTAAACAAGATGTTTTTATTTCAAGCAAAGTGTCCATCCAGATGCATTTCTCCCTCCTTTCCTCCAAAGAGCGAACATTCCTACTGTTACTCAGCCTGGTAAGGCCAGGAGAAGGTGCACCCTGGTGAAGGATAAACAAAAAATTACAGCCCTATGAAAGTGGCTTGATGCAATGAGTGCAATTCCCCAGTACAAGTTATTAAAAACAGAAAAGTGCTGGCAGTTCTGCTCTACTTTAACAACCTTCATCAATCCACATACTTTAAGCAAACACAGACACTGAAAAAAAAAAAGATAAAGGAAAGAAAACCAGAAAAATATACTTACAATCTGTTGCCATGCCAACAAAGATACATTTTTTGAAGCGACATTCCTGGCACTGATTTCTTGTTACTTTGTCTATCACACATTTTCCTTCATATTTACAGGAATAGGTTGGATGGAGGTTCTTCTGAATGGTTCTTCTAAAAAAACCCTAAATGCAAGAAATAAATACATTGGAAAGCATTAGCATTGAGCAATTTTTTTCAAATTGGGAGCCACTTTGGTTTGTTAGGAATGTACCTCAGTATGCAAGATAACATACTTCATTCCATGAAATTCTCAAAGGGGAAAAAACCAAACCAATTTTCTATTGTATGGCATTTCTTTTCTGAGTTTTGCAAAACATTTCCTCCTTAAAATTAAAAACACACAGACATCTTAGGTAAGTATAGACTCAAATAATGCTGTCTGAGGAACAAACACTGTCTACATGTCTTCTTGTAGTCTTATGTTTTAGTATGCTAAATTCTTTTTCAATATCAAATAGGTTTATTTTGAGCCCCTTTCTAAATTCTGCAATAATTTTGAGAGATATTAAGAGGCATATATATACTTTTAATTAAAGAGCAGCTTCTGCAAATAGTGCAAATGCTGGTGCCTATGTGCTACTAAAGGATTAAGAACAAACAGTTTTACTCCCTTCTTTCCATAAAAGCCAAATAACCAACCAACCAACCAAATCTGGGCTAGACCAAGAATTCTGCAAACACAACCTATGCAATTGTTGAGTTTAGTTCTAAATAATGGATCCATAACTTACAAATTATTTGTATTTCTGAAAAGTGGATTAATTTATATTTACTACAGAATTAAAAAAAAGCCCATCACCACTGAAAAGTCCTCTCTATATACATCCATTCCATCTATCTATCTGTCTCTGCCTGTCTTTCTATATATCATAATACAGATCTATATTGCCAATTGCAACAAATCCTAAACTCATGTGAAACTAATACAGTTCCTCTCAATTCACTGATTTATACACCCCATAAAGCCTGGCCTTAGGTAAAGAAATCAGATAAAATGTATCTTTGAACATTATGGACATAACCCTGGTACTAATTTCAACATGACTTTTCTCATTGACTTCTGCAAGAGCTGGATAAACTCTCCAAGACTGCAAGACATGGAAAAGATAGGCTGCAAAGCAAGAAATTTAGACTACACTTGAATTTCAAGTTTCACCATTATTTGAGACTGCCTATATTAACGCAATGCATCTCGGGATCACCTTGACATAGAGAACACATTGAGACCCTGGCCCTGTTTGACTGAGGCTGCTGAGAATGGCTTTGGTTTCAGTCAAAACAATGGCAAAATTCAAGTGAGATTTTAGCTAATGAATAGTCTCTTCAGCTAGAATTTTATCTAATGAATAGTCTCTTCACTTCAGTAGGCAAAAGGTCTGTTTTTAATCATGTTAAATAACACCCAGTAAAATCTTACAGCAGTGTGCAATTTCTCTCAACACAGAATGTTGAATTAACATGTACAGATAAGTCTGTATTTCAGCTTGAGCTCCTAACTCCAGTGAAGACAATAAAGAGCCTTGTCCTCATTAGAATTTATCTTACATGATTCAGCTCAAGCTAAGAGTACAACTCTTTCTTCCTTAATTACGATAAGATCTGAAATGTTAATTAAACTAAGTGGCATAGAGCATGTGTGTGAGCGTTTGCAAGACTGGGATCAGTTGTGTTGAGACAAAATCCAGGAAATCTCAGGCAAGATATCCTTATGTGGGGTTTGTAACAAGTCTCAAACTCTCATCTACCCAACAACTGGTTTTGGTTCCATCCTCAACCCTGTGATGAATTCCTAGAGACAGGATCTGCCCCTCTCCTCACTGAAGACAAAAGATGGCTGTGGACAACTAGGGTCACTGGGTTATCTCTAGTTACAGCAAGAGACAGAAAAATCTCTGATGAATCTCAAGAAGTGGCACTGAACTTCTGTTTTCCAACCTTGCGTGGGACTTATTGCAGGTCTACCTTTACAATGGCAAGGCTCTTCATCACCTGTGTTGGGACCAGTACATTTCACCTTTTAATTTCTTTGCATTTCTCAGAAACTTCTTGCAAAAAACCCTTTTTGATCATCTCTAGACACAATGTGTGAAGGAAGCTGCTCTCTCTTTGTCCAAACACTTAATCACAGAAGTGTTATTTTCATCAATAAAAGAAAGCACATTTCATTGTAAGGCAACAACTCTTAAACTCCTTTACTATGCGCCTAAGTAGCAATGGATGCAGTGGGGAAAGTCTGGAGAAACATTTTAGTGATGTCAGAACTCATTGCTGGTTTATTTGTGCTTAAATTCCTTACAATTTACTCTTCAGAAATCATGTGTAAGGATGCTTTGTTCATGTAAGCATTTGCCAAAGCAAATTTTTGGCTGCCAGCCCTGATTAATCCTGTTATAAAACTAAAGTGACTTTGAGTGGAAGCAACTAGTAAATGTCAAATTCACTGAAAACTGATTATATACATTGTGTATTGATATATACATGTAACCTTGCTGATAAATCATACAACTTGAAAAGCATATGCATCTCCTCCAAAGCATGGGTTGAAACTGTCCAGAAAAACCCCATCTTGTACAATGAATACATTTGCAAGAATAACAGCAAATCAAAACAAAACAAAACTGTTTGTCTGTAAGCCATCTGTAAGCAGGAGAAAGAAATTAATTACTTTTTGCAAATTGGTAGCTCAGTTCTTGTGTGCATAAGCATTATTTTAAATTGTATGTCAGAGAGAAGAACTGCATCTGAAGACAAAAGTAGATTTGTATGCTGTGTCTCTAAAAGAGCTGGTAGGCATAA